GGGTTGTTCCTTTTTTTCTTTTTTTTTTCGTTGTTCCTTTTTTCTTTTATTTTCTTTTCCGAAGAGTACCAGAAAAGAAAACACAATGGCACCCAGGCTCGGCAGATTTAAGTGCGCAGTGAAATCCAGGGTCGGCAAAAACAGGCTCGAGGTAGGTCGGCAAAAACAGGCTCGAAGGTACGACCCTCTTCCCCAGAATACAACGTACGGTCATTATAGCTGTATTCAGGGGCCAAGCCCCACTAGCAGGGTTGAGCTACCTCAACGCCTGAATCTGGATGCTTTTGCGGTGATGTGCAGAAATGTATGTTGAGTTTCCTGAACTGCACGTCTTCAGAAACACGTCCAGATTCAGGCGTTGAGGTAGCTCAACGCTGCCAGTGGGACTTGGCCCCAGACTGAAGATACCCCCAAAAAATTCAGCTATAATGACCGTAAGTTGTATTCGGGGGAAGACTGTAGCACACGATTAGGTTGTACCCCCCCCCCCAGTGCCTGTCATCTTGATGGCTCACAATCCTCAGATCAACCGGGGGAAATGGGAGCTTATCCTTCTGCCAATAAGGTTATCCCACGGCTACAGTCTTCCCCTAAATAGAACGCACGGTCATTATAGCTGTTTTAGGGGGCAATTTTCAGTTTATGTACAGTGATATCATGACCTTACGTTCTATTCTGGGGACGACCGTAGTGGAACTGCAAACCTGGTTCCGCGATCTGCAAGCGAAAAAAGAGAAAGGAAAAGAAACACAAAAGACTCAGAAATAGATCCCCAAGAAGAATGCCATCGTTCTGATGCAGACCCACGAGGGGGGAAAAAACGGGAGGATGACATCATGACCCGGCTTCGCACCAATTGAGAAAAATGAAATGTAGTTTGAAATTCGATGTAGTTGTGCCCAGATGACGCTATCGGCCATTGCCGCAACCAGGCATGAAAGACGAGAGCCACTGACACAGATGCAGCGACATGGCTTCTCGCAGGCACTGGCATTGCTTCGCGCTGCTTCATACTTCTCCAAGCCAACGATTCCCTTTTCCTCCTCCTCCCCCTCCTCCCCCTCCTCCCCTTGCACTGGTATCTTTCTTCTTCTTCTCTTCTTCTTCTTCTTCTTCTTCTTCTTCTTCTTCTTCTTGTGGGCGTCTTTGAGCTATGGTGATGTCCGAGCAGGTGGTTTTCTGTTGTTACTTGTAAGCCGCCTCCTTGCTATTGGCCTTGCTACGTTGTTCAATTCAAATCCTATCTTCAATTCTTCTTCTTCTTCTTCTTCTTCTTCTTCTTCTTCTTCTTCTTCTTCTTCCATTAAGCGCCAAGCGCACGTTACGCCCTTGTTCTGCACATCGTCCTCCACATCATGTTATTCCTCTTCTTTTCTTCATCAACCTCGCCCTGCTGTTCGTCCGAAGTCACTGTTCCACCATTTTCGTAGAGCAACAGATGAACGCGGAACAGTACCTGGGGGAGAAGTTGGGCACCAAAATGTCTCTGGGAGGCCCAGACCTTCAACTTAAAAAAAAAAGAGGCGAGGTCCTTCAAATATTGCTCATTCTCAAACAAAACAAAACAAAACAAGAAACAAAACAAAAAAAAAAGTTCAGTCATAGTGGGCCGTAAGGGAAGGGACTTAGGCCCTTTTTTTTTTTTTTTTTTTTTTCAATGACCCATGGACTGCGGATCAGATATTGAACTGATCAGAACAGATACTACAGCTCATCTAGTTTTAGCCAAAAGACAGAGAAAGGATGCCACTTGAACTCAAGGGTTGAGGGAAATTTCTTGGTTCTACCCCGCCCTAACTTGGCTGCGGAGTTGTTTCTACTTTCCGGCTCTCTAGTGCCAGCCGCCCTCGAAAATCAAGTGCAGCCGGGGCGAATTCACACTTGAGCTCAAGGTACCTCTCCGGGGAGCCTTGAGTTCAAGCGCCAGCAGATACCGCCAGCACTCCAAGTGGGGCTTTTTTTTTGTTTTTCTTTTTTCCAGCAGGCGAACCTGGTCCAGGATTGGTCAGGCCATGGAGTTCGATTTCAAGTGCAGCCGTTTCAAGTATTTTGTGAAGTGCACATGGCACGAAGATTGCAGTAAGTACTTTTTAATCACGATTTTT